ATTTGCATTGGTATGGATTTTAAGGTCAATTTTGTTATATGTATATGTATTTTTGAACTTGATTAAGGTATTGTGATTATGTAGTTCACTTAAAATGTAATGTATAATTAGGAAATATAGGTTGTTAATGGATAATCATTGCTAATAGTTAAGCTTGTAGTCATGTTAGTTAGATTTTCTAGATATATAGAGATATATTTCAATTAGATAGGCATTCTTCATATCTTTCAAAGACTGCAGAATATGGCATTTAAAATATTTTAATAACTTAGGACTTTTCATGACAAGGAGACACGTCTGCTCCTGGCAGCACCAGCTACTTCAAGAGGAAGATGGGCATCGAAGAGGATCCTTATGGAGTTGGATAGTCATTTGGGCAAGAAACTGCTCTTGCCTGGACTGTTGCATAAACTGGACACAGAGAACCCTCAGAGAGAGGACTGCTGAACTTGCCTAAAGGTGAGATGGTCTTTCGGGGTTCCTGATTCATGAAAGAGTCTACAAGACATTCTACAGAACACAGCAGAAAGTGACTGAACTGTCTTTAAAATTTCCTGCTTCATGGAAATGTATCTGGATACCATGGGCCTGTAGGCCGAAGATGGATGCCCCAACGGTACAGAGGAACTTTGGGTGACTGTCCAGGCAGCGAGATGTCTCTGTCATTTCTAGAGTTTTCTTATTTCTTGTTTACTTAGATAATATTATATCCTTCTGGAGTCTTTGATGGAGTTGAAGAATAAATAGTTATAGTTTTCCTTAGTTATGATAAGAGATAAAATAGATATAAATATTGTAACTGTAATTCTTACTTGATAACTGTTTTGTTATATGTAATTTTACTATGCTAAAGTTAAAGCCTTTCTTTTTTGTTTAAACGGAAAAAGGGGAAATGATGTGGGAATGATTTCTTACTAATAAAGAAACTGCCTTGGCCCATTTTATTGGATAGAAAATTAGGTAGGCGGAGTATACAGAAGAGAATTCTGGGAGAAAGAAGGTTAGAGGAAGAGTCGCCATGATGCTCCCACTCCAGACAGACGCAGGTTAAGATCCTCCCTGGTAAGCCAGCTCATGGGCTACACAGAATATTAGAAATGGGTTAGAACAATATGTAAGAGCTAGCCAATAAGAAACTGGACCTAGCCGGGCCAGGCAGTGTTTGAAAGAATACAGTTTCCGTGTAATTATTTCTGGGTATAAACTAGCCATGCGGGCGGCCGGGTGCCGGGGACGCAGCCCTGCCGCTCCTATTTCAACAGACTCCAATTTCAACAGAAGATAAAGGAAGAAGTGTAAATGCTCACCCAAAGAACACCTGGCTATACAGACTCTGGGGCTGGAAAGTAGTTAAAAGAGAATGAGGTAGATTTATCTCTAGGTAATGTTTCGAAACAAAATCAAGGAACAACGCAAAGAGCAGTGTCCTTGTAAGACACAAGCAACCCCTTAGCCACACACAAGTGTGTATTCCAATGTCATGAAGACTCTCTGGACGGACCTACGGAAACGGACAAGGAGTCCCACACAAGGGAGGGCCGGGGAAACCCTCCCTTTCTCCCTGTCGTGTTTCTTTTGGAATTACTTTAGAACTTTAACATTAATCAACTCGACATTGTGATGTCATGCAACGTAACTGGGGTCTTAAGCTTCAGGTCCCCTTTGCTCCATTGGCTGGGTGGGGAGATGTTGGTCTCTTTTTCTGTGTGGAGCAGGGCTGGTGTGGGGAGAATGTGGTTCTTGCTTAGGTGCCACCAGGGATGCCACTGGACTTCCTGGCACAGGGGCAGCCATAGGCAGCACTAGGGATATCTGTCTCTGTTTTCTTGGAGTCTTTTGGACATCAACTCCTATCAGCATGGATGGTCTATCAAAAGCCTATGCTGCCTTCAGTATTTTCCTACTCTGCCACATGGTGCCCCCCCTTTCGGACAACCTTCTAGTAAATTCTATTAAAATAGACCAATGCCCATTAATTAGTCTGTGGGTGCCTCCCAGGTGGGTAAGCATCGCAATGAATGCAAATTGGAGACAAAGAGGCTTTCTAGGGGAAAGCCGAATCAATTGCCATTTGCTTTACCAACCACAGGAAATCCTTTTCATTTTGGGAGCACTGAATAATAAGCCATGATTAAAAAGGACTGTAATCCCTTTAATGGAACATTAATGCCATGTTACATTGACGTGACTGTGAATGACAGGGTCCCCTCTCTGGGGGCTTCCTCAAGGATTCCCAGGGCATCCTGGTCTCCCTGCACATGTTTCTGAGGCTTTCTGCCTTTGCACACAATGGGAGTCTGGGAGGAGTGTTACCACATGGTTCCCTGGCAGGCCTGACCGGTGGTATTTTCTGTGAGTTTCTACAGGTTTCCCTCCTTCTATTGGGCCCGCAGGTAACAAAAGAGAACCCTGAAGTTACAGTGGGGTGACAAAGACGTGTGTGTGTGTGTAAAGAGAGAGAGATCGATATCTGAGATTCTCTTTATAAACAATCCAGAACTCACCATTTCTCTTCAATCTTCCCAATGCTAGTATCTCCCTTGTCTCCTGCAACCCTCTGTGTCCACAGCACCCTGGCACAATCTTCTACTGTGCTTTGAATGTGAAATGTCCCTTACAGCTTGATTTCCAGTTGGTGACACTCTTTGGGGAGGTGTGAGAACTTGGGGAAACCTGTGGCTTAAGTGGGAGGCATAGGCCACTGGGGACAGGCTTGAAGGACAGGGCTCTGCTTCTGGTCCTGGTTTTGTTTCCTGTTCAGCCAAGGTGAGACTCGACCACAAACTCCTGCCTCAGTGAACTTCACCACAAGGAGCTACTCTGTCACAGAGATGGGAAATGTAAACACACCTCCTCAGAATCACCACTGTTTCCCTCCTTGTTCTCACCATCCTCAGGCCATGAATCCCACTGCGATGCTTTTCCCACCATGCTGTGCCTTGCCCTACCAGAGCACAGTCTATGACTTTAAGCACCCAGATCTGCAGATGTTCACAGAGGAAGAGAACAGTAGGCATGTGTCGTGTGTTGACTTGTCACCTCAGATCAGGCCCTTCTGAATTGCTGTGGGATAATCCTTCTGTACACTGTGAATATATGTTGCTCTCATTGGCTGATAATAAAATCTGTTTGGGCCTATAGCAAGGCAGAATATAGCTAGGCAGGAAAGGCACACTGAATACAGGTACAGGGAAAGAGAAGAGCAGAGTCAGGGGAGATGCCAGCCAGCTGCTGGAGGAGCAAGGTGTATTAGAGCACAGGTAAAGCCAGGAGGCATGTGGCAAAACATAGATGAGTAGAAATGGGTTAATTTAGAAGTAAGGGCTAGCTAGTAATAAGCCTGTTCTGAAGCCTGCAGATCTAGAAAGGGGGAACTACAGGCAGCGCTGCCATCAGTCAAAGCTCTGTAAGCAGGCAGTATTACAGGTCAGATTCACCCACTGTGTGCTGGTGTCCAGACTTAGGGCTGGGGTCTGTAAGACAGCAGTTCTCAACCTGTGGGTCATGACCCCTTTGGGGGTCGCACATCAGATGTCCTTCATCTCAGATATTTACATTGTGATTCATAACAGTAGCAAAATTACAGCTATGAAGTATCAAGGAAATAATTTTATGGTTGGGGGTCACTACAGCATGAGGAACTGTATTAAAGGGTCACAGCGCTAGGAAAGGTGAGGACCAATGCCATAAGGCAGGGCTGATGCTGTGAAAGACACAGGTGAGCTTCACTTAAGATCCACCAAAGCGGGCGGTCATAGAGGCAATGGCTGTAGGGGATCTGGTCACCCTGGTGGTGTTGGGGAGTTGAACAAAGGATGCCATTTCTCCTTGAACCTGTTCTTAGTAGCTCAGGTGAGCACCGGATTCTATGAACCATCCTTTCTTCTTACTTCCAGTTCGCTGGATCACTAATAGGAGCTAGGACACATGGAATTTATTCTTCACCCACCCCCCTTTGCTCATTATCTGTATGACTCCAGTCTCCTTCCACCATACAGAACTCACTAATGAGTTATCAGCTGGCGACTGAAGATGCCCTGGTAACCAGCCACACACACACACACACACACACACACACACACACACACACCACACACACATACACACACACAAATACACGCACACAGTTTACAGATCTATCCAAATATCCCCACTACCGCATTTGTCCACAGCCCAGGGCTCAACGGTATGGGTGCCTTTACTTTAGAAAGCATGTTTACATATGTGGTAGTGTCCTCTACCACCTCTGAAAAATCACTCAAGAGAAAAATGAAGAGTTCAAATGCAATTTACCCAGTTATGTGAAGGGGAAAGAGTCCTGAGGAGCCCGGTCAGCAGGTCCATTTTGATGCCACAGCAAACCAGCAGAAGCCTATTCAGCACTTAGTGAGCAGACGCTCTTTCTTTTAAGATTCAAAATACCATAGTACCCAGATACACACACTGCTTGGGAGTATGTATAGTGGTCCCTGCTGGTCTAAATGGCTTGAGTCTGACCTTTCAGGTTTGTGGAAGAGAGTTCTATGTCTAGAGACAGTATAGGTCACTGCACTTGTGGGAGAGTGCTCCAAGGTACCCCAGCAAGTCTCTCAAGTGGCCCAGGAGCCTCAGCTGCTGCCTCCTGCTCCAAACAGACCCAACCGGGCGAGCAGCACCTGCCCATCACAGCTCTGCTTCTCCTCAGCCTCACCTGATGGAGCACCAATCACGGCTGGCTTCCAGGGCAGGGAGCCGCCCACAAGACTCTTGTCTATAGCTTTCTAGCTAAAGAGCTCTTCAGTTTAGACAGGACTGCACCAGTGTCTGGAGATGCCATGTTCAGACGCCATTCATCATACAAGTGAATATTCTGTGAGGCTCCCGATGCCTTACAGAATGAATAAGCAGGAGATTTATGAGAAGAAAAGCCAAGGCCAGAGTGATAAAGAGGTAAGAGTGTAGGGGTTGGTGAAATACTGAATCCACAAGCAAGGGCCCCACAGAGCCACTGGAAAGGATATCTCGCTGGACTGTCCTTAAGGGCATTGAGGAATCCCGTTTGCTGTGAACCTGTGGGAATGAAGCCAACATTTAGTATCCAGACATTCATGCCTGCTCGTGCTCAATGTTCTCATCTATATAAGTATAATGGGTGTCTAAACATCAATTAAACGATCATCTTTGGTTTTAGGACACCCAGCTTATTGATCAGGAGATCGTGATTTCACTGAAGCCATTCAAGAAGATGGCAGATTCATAATTAGAACCAACATCTGCAGGACATTTTTATTCCAATGAAAGCAGATGTATGTCTGTATATTTTCCATAAATTATAGCTTTGATTGCTCTTTTGTTTTCCTCATTTTAACAGGAAAACAGAATCCTACATAATCCCTTCTGTTTTGCCCACAGCTGTTAACATTTGGCAGCAGAGGTCTTAGGGAATTGGCTACCCACAGTCTTCCTTCTTGTACACAGAGTAAACGAAGCTAAGGTTCATTTCCTGACTCTTTTGGGTGAAGGTGTTTCCTTGTCCTGTGATTATGACCTGCAAGAAAACACTGAGGGGTTTGAGTTCAGCTTCATCTGATGAGGACAGGGATTCTGTTTTATCTAAGGCCATCACACTTTAAACAAATGTTAAAGATTTATTTTTATTTGTGTGTGTGTGTCTACAATACGTGTGTGGATGCCTATGGAGGATAGAAGAGGGAGTTGGATCCTTTGGAGCCAGAGTTACACACAGTTGCTCAGTGTGGGTGCTAGGAACCAACCGGAGTCCGTTGGAAGCACAGCCAGTACCCTTCACCACTGAACAATCTCTTTAGCCCGACCTCTGAGGCAGAAGTCTTGGCAATGCTATCTTGGGGGATGATTCTGGGCCCTTCTGACTGAAGCCACTGTGCTTCAAGTGACACAAGCTCATGCCACAGAACACGAACTGTTAAGCTAGTATGGCGACCGTTGCATCTTGGTGCCGATTAACCAGCTGTGGGCTGGGGTGAGTGAGGGGCAGTGTTCTAGGTCTTTCTGTGTGACTGTCAACACATGTCCCAGCTGTGGGCTGGGGTGAGGGGCAGTGTTCTAGGTCTTTCTGTGTGACTGTCAACACATGTCCCACTGTGCGAAGGTGAAGAGGGAGCTTTGTTCCACTTCATATTTCTCCTCCAGGAACTCCCTCCCTGCAGGCCTACTGCCCACCGTGGAGGCACGAGGATAGTTAGGTGGTGGGGAGGGCGGCTCAAGAGGGACTGCATTGATTACTAATATGGGAAGACAGGTGTTTAAAGCTTCTTGCCTCTCCTCACATCCAGCAGGGTGCAGTCGGTGAATGACAAGTTGCAGGCCACTAGCAAAGGCAACCTCAGAACGAGAGGAGACTAAAATAGACCCCACCGTGTAGGAACCAGGGTGAATGAAACTTATCCATTGTGAATGGGGATGAGCACTGTTCTAAGCCTGGGAAGGCAGCAGACTTGTGTGTGTGTGTGTGTGGGGGTGTGGGTGTGTGTGTGTGTGTGTGTGTGTGTGTGTGTGTGTGTGTGTGAGAGAGAGAGAGAGAGAGAGAGAGAGAGAGAGAGAGAGAGAGAGAGACAGGCAGAGAGAGAGACAGAGATAGAGAGAGAGAGAACGTGAGCAGGTATGATTTGGAGAGCTTGTGAGGGCTCCGAGCGTGAGGGACAGTGTGATGAACTGTACTGTGCATGCACACGTTTTCCTGGCATTTATACGCACAACTGAGCAAGTGAAAATGAACCCTAAAGCTCTAGGATGCAGGACGGAAGCTAGGAATATAATCCGATGGTGTGAAATGAAAACAGAAATTTCCGGAAGGACAGTAGATTTTACGCCATGTTGATTTGAACATGAAGAAATTTGCTGTGCTGTACAGACTTAGGGTCTGGTTAAATTTGGGTGTGTGATGTTTTTCATTTATTTGCAAGGGCTCTTTTTTTTATAAGAACGTTTATAAATTAAAAAAAATAAGGCTAAACCACTACTTCTGAGCGTCACGTGTGTGCTCTCTCTGTCCATGTGAACAACTGCTTCCTTCAGAACAGCGCTTAACACTCTTGGCTTTCTCTTCGCTGCTCTTGTGCGTGAATCCACAGACTGGCGACTGGCTCCACTTCTGCCATTTTGGGATTCAGAAAACCCCGAGAAAAAGGGTCTCTGTAAAGATACGTTGGCACCAGCGCCAGCTGGCATGGAAGAGGACTCTAATGGGGACTTGTCATTTCTCATGAACTCACTAACTCAAGATTCTCAGGCATGTATTCCAGATTTGTGCGTACCGGGACAAAAACGAATCGCAGCCCCAAACCATGCAGTATAGAGCACTGTCAGCCTTGGGGTAGCTGATGGAGCGGCCACCCTTGACTGACGCTTATGGAGACCAATGGGAGCAGGGACCAATGGGGGCCCTTCTCTACACTTCTTCCCCAGTCTGGACAGGGACGAAGCCCCCGGAACAGAACAAGTGGGAAAGGGGCCTAATCCTGCTCCATTCATGAGATCCATGCTGGCAGGAGAAGAAAGTGAAGTCTTTCTGCTTAGAAACTTCCAGAGGCACACCAGAGTGGGGCTGTGTGCTTGCCAATGGGCGCATATGCTTCAGGACCGGGTGAAAGGCAGAGCTGCTCGCTTATGTGGGCAGTGACACGCTAATAAAGTTTAAAGGCTTAGGTTTGTGGTTCAAAGCCAATTAGCTCCTTTCTCATCATTTCCCATTGTGGGAAAGTGAGTGACTAAGAGACAAAAGAAATGCAGTATGAACTTCAGAATGGCGATGGAAAAAAAATGCTGGTTTCTTATGCAAATATATTAAAATCATTTAGACTCAAATCTCACTTTCTATGTCAGAGGTTGTTTGTTCATATTCTTGCAGAGAATTGAGTATCTCATTGAGTGCGTATGAGAAAACCCAGTATCTGTCCCCAGCCATATCCTTCGTCTGGGGATGTATCTATTCAAACCATGGGTCAGTAGATAAGGGAAACAGACTCAGTATTCAATGGTTGTCATCATGCCTGTAGTTCCTTGTGCAAAATGGAGGGGTGAACCTTACGGGGGATCCCCAGCAGACATCACTGAGGTTGGAGAGGGCGTGCATGTCAAAGGGAAAGTCCTGTTAGTCTAGGTGGTCCAGGGGTCACCTGGAGACTGCCATTTGAGGGATGGGGTTGAGGAAAGAGGGAGGGATGGGCAAAGTGAAAATCAGAGTGGGTAGGCTGGAAGCGAGGAGGGGGATGGGGAAAGAGAAGGAAGCGAAAGCCAGAAATGGTCAAAAATTATAAATCAAAATCAACTCAGAAAAGCCCAAGTCGGGCAAATGGTTACATACGGAATCTGATTTCGGCAGCATACTTACGAAGAATGACGTGGGCGATAACGAATGCAAATATAAAGACTGTCAGAAAAGACAGGGATAAAATAAACATATAAAAAAATCTGTAGTTTCTTTTCCCCACACAGTTGCCTACCCAGGGACAGTGGTGGTCAAACCGTTCTGAAATGAGAGGCAGAGAAAAGAAAAGTGGAATTTAATTAATAAAATATCTGTTTACATGAGAGAGCCCCTCCCTCCCACAATGCTCTAATAATATAGCAAAAACAATATCATATTATGTTATTTCCAAATAGACTGCTCAGAGAGGTACTTATTAACATTGATACATTTCAGGAATGTAATCATGCTTCCAACAGACCGCAGGTGTTTGGAAACACCAGCTGTGAATTCCCCTCAAATGGTTACGTAAAGAAACAGTAGCACACATTCTCAGACTCAGAAGTAAAAACTCAACTCTTTGTGTTCACAGAACAGTTTTCCCTTAAATGGTGCCAACATCACCCGGTGACAAGGACTTGGCTGGGTTGGGGCTGGGTACGTCAGTGGGTGGCCTCCTGATACAGCGAGCGGTTCCAGAGAGAGCCATAATGGGTCTAGGGCAGGACAGAGGGACAATCCTTTGCTCTCCCATCTCGGTTATAAACACTTGACATAAACTTATCACAGACACCAATTTATTCCTATCAGGAATAAATTGATAAAGTGATGTCACTATTCTTTCTCGAAGACATACAAAACAAGGCACGAAGAGATGGGAGACTGTGTGCAGGGGCAGCCAGGCCAGCATCAGAGTGATTAGCCCTGAGGCTGGGCCTTCGGACAGCCTTCATCTCCTAGCATGTATGCTGCCTGTGGTCCTTCATGATGGCAGCAAGCTAGGTTTGGGCGCTGGATGCCATTACTCCCCTGTGCCTAAGCACAAGCCTATGGCTTCTCCTTTTGGGAACTTCACACAAAGTCTGCAATGCATTTCGATCTGTTCTTCCTCTGGCAGAGGCAGCAAAGTGTGATCTCCTACTCGTTAGCTGATCTTCTATGCAGACCGACTATTCCGTGTCATCCTAAGAACCCACTCACGTCAGACCACCCGCTGCGAGCTGGGGGATGTTCATCTCTCAACTGAGCCCCTTATTTGGGCTCTTTCCTCAGCCTCCTACCTACCTAATTTCCATATTTTATCCTCTGTATGGGCTTCACAAAACAGAAAGGGAAGGTGTTGTCGAGTGTGACTTTATAAATAAAACATGACAGAGGTGGCCAAGGTGGTAAGTTCCATGGGCCACTAATCGTGGATCCAGCCCCCTCTGTGCCACTGGCTGAAAAGGCACAAGGACACGGGGGTCAGGGTGGCAGCCTAGGAAATGCAGGGGACACTGGCCTGCAAGCAGCATGAGCAAAAGCAGTCACTTTGAAGAGGGAGTAGCAGGACAAATTTCAGAGCTCAGTGGCCTGGTGACAGAGCCAATGGCCCATAAGATAGAGATACTTAAGGAAAGGGATTACATTGGTGTGGCCCTGGGAGTTCCTCACTATCACACGCTGTCAGCTAACACCTTCATAAAATCTACCTCACTCTGGGTAAGACAGGCAGAGTGCGGGAAATCTTCAGGGTCATGAAAACCCACTGGGTGATAATAGATACCTGCTATATCATTAGCTATTTGTCTAAGACTGCAGGGCCTCTAATCTTGAATGAGCCATGAATGCTGACAGTGTGTCAACACAGGGGTGTCAGTCCTAACACACATGCTTACTCTGGTGGGCATGGGGATGACGGAAGGCTGTCCCTAGGGATGGCGGGTACATGGGAACCCCTGGGTTTTCCTTTCAATTTTTCTGTGATCCTAAAAGCAAGGTACTCAGAAATTAAACAAGCAAGCACCATCTCTCCAAGTCATCAGTCTGCGATCTATACAATGGCCGGTCTGCAAGATGAAGACCGCAAAAGGAGGGAAAAACATATCTGAACCAGCCAGATGTTCCCCAAGACTATAAAGCTATTATTTCAAGCAACACCTTTTCTGCTTGACAGCTGAGTTTAGAAAACGGGAGTGAGAGCAGAAGCCAGGAGCAGATAAACACACGTGGGGCCAGTATCTGCCTTCAGTAGTGCACCCGGCTCTGCAGGGCCCGTGTAGAGAGGAAACCTCTAAGCTGCAGGGAAATGGCTCTCGGCAAAAGCCACATGTGAAGTGAAGAGGAGCCATTTGCATCTGGAAAGAAGCCTCCAGAGGACAAGGTTTTACGCCATGGGCCCATTTCCACAGGGTTGGCCTTTTAATTTTAGCTCAGAAATCTTTAAATCTGCCAAGCCAAGATGTGGGCTCTCTTAACAGTAGAAAGACAGCCGCCAAGGATGACCCAATGCGTCTTGTGGGTTCCAGGAGGCCTCTGGGAAGCCAGCGCTTTCAGGGTGGGACTTGGCACCTGGCTCCCCCAAAGCCTGGCCTGGAAGCCATTTCCCTTAGAGATGTGTCTTGCTGGAAACTGCCTTGACTGACAAGTGTGACTGGAACTTTAAGCACACCGAGCTGTTTGCCATGGACTCTTTCTCACGTCTTCTGCAGACGCTGAGTTCATGATGGCTGCTGGATCTGAAGCTCCCAGGCCTCTACCTACTCCATTACCCCAACTGTGTGCTCAGGGCACCCCTTCTTCCCTTTCCCTGCCCATGAGTTAGAGGGGGTCAGCGTGTTCCTTGATCTTCACTATGGACCCTTTGCACAGACAAATCTTCCACCTGAAGGCTCAAAAGTGACCAGAAAGCTGCGTCCACCTTCAGCAATAGATAGCTGCTAGACCTGGCTGGTGTCTCAGCTATGCCTTCTCCCAGGATGCCTCTCTAGACTACTATCCAGCCCGCTACCCAACTCTGAAACCCATACGCTACCTCTGACCTCATCCTTCTGTCTCCAACCACGTCCAAACCTTGAGCAGGTCCCGTGGGCTCTGCCCTACTTTTATTTTTTACTTTAAAAAAAATTTATTTATTTATTTATTATGTATACAATATTCTGTCTGTGTGTATGCCTGCAGGCCAGAAGAGGGCACCAGACCTCATTATAGATGGCTGTGAGCCACCATGTGGTTGCTGGGAATTGAACTCAGGACCTTTGGAAGAGCAGGCAATGCTCTTACCCTCTGAGCCATCTCTCCAGCCCCCCTGCCCTACTTTTATTTGAAACGAAGTTGGTTTTTATTTGTTCTCAACAGTCAAAATATTGTCTAGGCTCCAATTTAATAGGTATTTCCTAGAGCACTGAATATACCTGGATATCACCAGGACTTCCACAGGTGGTGTTCTGTAAAACGGTGAGTTAGCTGGGCAGGGCATCCTGACCACACCTCTGGTGGCATTCTGTGGTCCTGCAGCGGTCTGAGGGCTTGCTTATCACCCCGCCCTCCTAATCCTCCATGATTCCCGAGGGCAGGGTAGGGACTTTTATAATCATCTCTATAACTCCGGAGACTTGTCATAAATATGCATTAAATGACTTTCAGTGCCTGTAGCAGGCTTAGGAATGTCCTGGTGAGAAACCGATGGCCTTGAGCAAGTGGAAGGGGAGATGGTGGGTGTGTCAACCACAGGGAAATACAAGGGGCCTCGGCATACAGCCACAGCCATGCTCGGAGAAGTCGGAGGTGATAATCCACTGAGCAAGCAAGGTGGCCAGCTGGTGTCATGAATCAACTGTTAGAGACGAATGAATGAAGAAAGGTGGCTCTGTTTAAAAGCTCTTCCTTAGCGAAACCCAGAGGATGCTGGGTACCAAGCCGCCAGCCTCAGCTCCCAAGCAAGCTCCCGATGGTGTCACAGGACATAGGCTCCTACACTGGAGCCTTAACTTATTAATGATTACAGGAAGCTTCCGGCCACATACATAGTTCCAGTTAGAAACGTTGCTTCCTATCATTGGACAACAGATCTCTGCCGTCTCTCCTGTTCTCCATATCACAGCCCAGGGAGCCCTGAGAAAGGCAAGCAGCCTGGATACCTGCCCACCTTCTTCTTTTTAGAGACAAGGTCTTATTGATCAGCCTAGGCTAGCCTGAAATGTGCTTATGTACATCAGGCTGGCCTCGAACTCACAGAGATCCCTCTGCCTCTGTCTCCCTGAATGCTGCGATTAAATGCGTTCATGCCACCACCCAGGTTGAATTCTCCTCCCCTAGTCACAGGAACGAGCAGTCTTAGTCCCCTAAAGTGACTTGAGAATTCTGTGGCACCAGAGAGCTTGGGAACCACAGCGGAGATTAGAAACTTCTAATCCAAATGTTTAATTGCATCCAAATTAAGTTAAATGTTTTTAAAGATTCGAAGTGGAAAATTGCTTTTCTGTAAGCCTCAGGCCCTTTCACCTCCACGGTCAGAAAGATTTCCCCTGGTAAGGTATCTTTTGTTTGTGCTTTAGGTCAGATGCTGAGAGACAGGGACACACATCGTTACCTGGCCATATGGGTTATACAGCCCCCCTAAAGCAACCCTACTGGAATGTCTGGAAATGGAGCTTAGTGACTCAGAGTCTCCATCACTGAGAGTTTCTGCCTTGGCCAGATCTATCAGTGGCTTCCCATTGCACTCGAGGCCGGGAGGGCTTGGGAAAAGCATGCTTGCCCCTGTCCCTTTGAGACTCTTCTTACTTTTATACGGCCTTTGCTCCCACCGTGCCAGGACCCAGGCACTGTACAAAGCACTCAGTATGAATCGTGTTATTTATTTATTTTATTTTAGTGTGTGTGTGCGCATGCTTGTGTGTATATGTGCATGTGTGTGTGTGTGCATGCCTGCATGCATGTGGGGGTTGGAGAACACCCTTGGGTCCTTGGGTGTCATCCAGGAATGCTGTCTGCTGCCATCTGCTGTTCACCTTTTGTTTGTTTGTTTTTTCCAGACAGGGTTTCTCTGTAGCTTTGGAGCCTGCCCTGTGTCCTGGAACTAGCTCTTGTAGACCAGGCTGACCTCGAACTCACAGAGATTCACCTGCCTCTGCCTCCCGAGTGCTGGGATTAAAAGTGTGTGCCACCACCGCCCAGCTCCGTCCACCTTCTTTGAAGGCAGGGTCTCTCAGTGGTCTGGATCTCACTAATTAGGTGAGACTGGCTGGCCAGCAAGTCCTGGGAATTCTCCTGTCCCTACAAGTCCAGCTCTGTGATTACAA